GTTCCCTTCTCCCTAGGGAACAAGACCTGCAAGCTCCAGGTTAAATCCCCATCCTCTTCTCCCCAAGAGAGCCCCTGGTTTTAAACAGACGGCTCTGTGGCTGGTCACGCCGAGCAGAGCACTGGTCCTGGCCTCTCTCCATGTCATGGTGACATGCCCCAGCTCTGCCACCAATGTCTCCTCCCCTGAGATCACAATGATCCCTTTCCCTCTGGAGCACCTGGAGCAAGAGGCTGTGCTCATGCCCAGGGCATTAGAGCTGCTGGGGTGATTCCCTCCTCACTGGGCCTGAAAAGAGCAGATGGAGGCATCTGCTTCAGCCATGCAAAGGCTGGAAGACGGCCACCACCATCCGCAGGCCCCATGGCAATCATGGGCACAACACGCACTGGTGGGTGGGAAGCAGAGCTGCAGGCAGGGTGCAGGGCTCAGCCGTCCCCTTTCTCCACAGCCTACCACAGGCGCCTGGAAGACGACCTGAGCTCCGACACATCGGGACATTTCAAGAGGATTCTCGTCTCCCTGGCTCTGGTAAGGGCAGCTCTCTCGTTGGGGATTGTCCCCTCCCTGCCACGGGCAGCGGTGGGGGTCTGTGAGGATGGCGGCTATAGAGAAGACGGAGCATCACGGCCTGGCTGGGCAGCGCTGCTGGACCCTGTCTGCCACCCCCTTGCTTGGGGCTCTCCCTGGAAATGTTCTCTCCCCAGCTCCATGATTTTTGTATTGAACCACAGGGCAACCGTGATGAAGGACCAGAGAACCTCACACAGGCGCATGAAGATGCCAAGGTAAGAACCGTACTGGCAGTGCTGTCACAGGCTCTGCATAAAAAAAATGAGGATGTTGCATCCCCTGGTCTGGAAATGGCATCCTCAGGGAAGCAAATGCTATTGGGGCAGGGTCTCTGTAAGCTGCAGGGGGAGGTGACAGGTGAAGTCACCTTGGAAGTAAAGCTCCCCGCGGGCTTGATTTCTGATGCCCTGGGCTCTGCTGCTCCATGCATGGGGAAGCTGCAAACCATGAGAGCAGCGGGGAGCTCCCAATCGGGGGCTGCAGCAGTTCTTGTGCAGAGCTGCCACTTTGGGCTCCAGTAACACGCACTGATACTGAAACCTGGCTCTTGAGCTTCAAAGGCAGCTTTGAGCTGGTCTGCAGGAGCCACCCCGCTCTTTGTCTTGTGCATGGGGCAGCCCTGAAGCCTACGCTGCTTTTCACCCTGACAGCACGCCGGGATGCCAGCCCCAGCCCCCCCCAGCCTCATCTTTACTGGACTGTGGTGAACCACGACTGGAGGGGGAAGGCTGAGCAGCCAGAAATGGTGCAGGGAGGTGCTGCGGCCCCATTGCCTTGGCTCAGCTCCCGGTCCCAGGAGACCTGTTGACTCTCGGGCCATGCACCTTGGCCTCCTGCTCCTTCGGGCCAAGTCTCTTCTGAAAGGGGCTGGGAAGCTCGGTGCAGGGCCAAACCCGAGCTGTCACTTGGCTGTCTTGCCCCAGCACCGCTTGCTCCAATGCATGCCAGCAGCACACAGAT